CTAGTCCCGGCCCCGCCCTAGGGCCCCCCGCCGACCTGTACCACGCCTCGCCCTAGAAATCCCCGATATACCGCCCCTCTACCTCACCCCCGCCCTAGGCCTCCTCACCACCCTGTAACTCGCCCTCGCCCTGGTCCCACCTCCCTGTACCTCGTCTCCATCCTTGGACTTACCTCGCCCCCGCCCTGGTCCTCACCACCACCCTACGCGCTGCCCATGCCCTAGGCGTCGAGCTGTAACATAAACTCTCTCAACAACAAACCCCTCGTATGGCGCGGGTTATTTTAAACTGGACTTTATTACGGCCCAATTGTACTCTTCATATCCTTAGGCAAAGAGTGGCTGTACACTATTTAATACGTTCCATATATAGCTGTAAGTTGTCGTGACACTATCGCTATCTCTGTTTTTCTCAAAGATTATGAGTAGGATGGCAACACACAACAAGTGTTGCAGTAGATCCATATGTTGGTGTCAAATGCAAGTCAAAGATGTTAGGTTAAGAAATGATTTAACACTTCAATGCCACTATGATGTATGCTAAAGCAATCTCGAACAAGTCGGTGGCATTCAATGTATTAAATCGCATTTTTTATGAACAATTCGGTGTCGTGGACAATTTTGGATAATCTTTCTCTATTTTATATGTATTATTTGCTATTGTGTTTCCAAACGGAATTAAGAGCGCTTGTAATAGACACAACTGTCAATAGTCTGTCAAATGGGGCATAGACAAGAGAATCTGATCTGACACTATCCGTCATAGAGTAAAACTGTCAAAAATATTTGCTATATCTGTGTTCAGTAATAACCTAATTATCTTATTATACTGATTATCACTTTATCGTTTCTTCTATTAAACTTAACATTTTAATTTCACATTGATTATTGATTTATTGTTGTTTTCCTTCACTCTGTCGCATATAATGAGATATTGGATATTTCAGACAAATATTTGACAAAATATCCCTTTTTTTTTTTCAAAACAATCAAATAAGTACATAAATGTTATTGTTTAAGATTATATAACTGTTTTACCTCATTTATTGCATATCTGTACATATATCTGTGATGGATTTATAATTTTATAATTGTTGTAATTCAAATAAAACTTCATCATTTATCTATACTTTGTAAGTATAAAAATAACCATAAAGCTATGTTATATCGTAATTTTATCTTTTAACGGAATCATTGTTTAGTTACTTTGTTACCATGACAGAAACTATTAACTTTGTATGCGACAATTTTGCATATTTTCATGTACAATTTATATGCCTGTTTTATATTATAGCTCAAAGTTATTTTGTCATAACCGTTGGATAGATTTTTTATGTTTTAATACTATGCTAATTATAGACAAACTATATTTATTTTCTATTTTTCTACTTGTATTTTGTCGGAACGCGATGAATTCGCAATCTATGACATTTTTTGGTATTATATGTATAGACAAGTATACAAGATCTTTAGAATGTAATTTTGTCAATATTATAGAAATAAATGTGTCGTACTTATTATTCGTTTAACTCCCTTATCCTTTTTTCCTTTTATATCGAAGTTTATGTTTTAGAAAATGAAGATCGCTTACGGAGTTCATGCCAAGCCATGTAGGGACCATGGCTTGGCTATTACGTAACATGAGAAAAGCATTTTTCTTGATATCAAACTAAGTTAAGTTGTTATTACCGTTATTCAAAGGATAAAGTTAAACATAACTTCGTAAAAGTATCAAAACGTTTTAAATTATTCTTTCAGAGCTACTACAACTTTTTAATATTTCACCCGTATAGACCCTTGTTACTTATAAAATAACGAACAGCATAAAAATAGTTTTGGGCTTATTAAACGTTCTTCATTTTTTGTATTTGTGTTTTTCATATTTTTAAAGTACAAAACAAAATAATTTATCGCCTGTTCAAATCCGTATGGCAACATTACTGATTGTAACTTCCCAACGTTTTATATACTCTTTGGACGTTTTCTTAGCGCGTGCGAGATGACGCGCCGGTGAATTTTATTTTAAAGCCTTGACGTAATTTTTATTTTATACGCCGATAAGTGAGGTGAAAATTGTTAATTACATATACGTTTATAAACATTGTGATCGACGCGCATTCAATAACCGAGTGTATTTCATTACAGTTACTACAATGGCCGATCAAGTAGATTCAATGTCAGATGCGGAGCTTCGGACTAAACTAGCCGAGCATGGATTTCCTATTATGCCGATCACAGCTTCTACCAGAAAACTGTTGGTAAAGAAATTAAAGCTCGTTCTTGACAATAAAAGTAAACCGCGAAACAGTGTTGACAGTAAAGTGGAAAGCAGGCGTTCCCTTGCGCGTTACTCGAGCGGCGAGGAATCCGACTTGGACGCCAGCAATGCGAAAGAGAAACGTGGGGGCCGTCGGAGTAAAGTCGGAGGGTCTATGTTACCGCCCACCAGTAGCAAAACGCGCCATATACCCGTTAAAAAAGATTCCCCCGCCAAAGTCGATTCCGACAAAGGATCTGAGTCTGACGAAGAAAAATCACCCGTTCGCATACGCGAGAAAGTTGAAACTATCACTACTCGACAGATAAAAAGAACTTACACAAATGATCAAGATGACTATGACACAGGATCCGACAGTGATGTTGACGGCGACAAGAAAACCTCCACTCCTTACAGAAGCAACTCAAGAGCCAGCGACCACATCTCCAGCACTCTGCCTACCACCAACGCCAGCACCAGTGCGCCTAAACCGTCACTTTACACACTTCCCTCTATCTCTTCTACCAACTATTCATCACCAATACTTTCCTCCTCAGATCATTTGAATTCTATAAGGTCTCGACTCGGTTTAACATCTACACTAGCTGATAGACCTTCTGTAAGCAGTTACATATCTGACTACACAACAAACAATGTAGATGAAGTTGAATCTCCTTATCTTAGTAATTTTACACGTCGCTTGTCTACTTTGAAATCAGATCCGCCCAAAACAAGCACCTTTTTAGACCAGGACACAAACAATGGCAGCACAGTCTCACCACGCAGGTCTTATATGACTGGTGTGACAAGATCAGCAGATGTTGTTGACTACAAAACTGTGAATGACAAAAAGTTTTTGAAAAACAATCTTGTGTCTCTTGCCCTTGTTGTGTTAGTTGCACTTTTTTTTTTTTGCTTATTTTTTATGTATTTAGTTAAGAAAAACGATATCGCCTCGGTAGTTGATGATCAAAACAGTCTGATACCAATATGTCAACTAAATATACCTGGAAATAGACCTGGCATCAACTGTGTGCCCCGAGAACATGTCAGCTATGCTAAAGATCTCCTAAAAGTTATACATCCGGAACTGACTACCCGAATTGCCTCATACCAATGTGGTAAGCCGGGGGCTCTGCCTTATCTCACAGAAAAGGAAATTATTGACCTTGCTAGTGCTAGAGCTGAAATGGTTGATGTAAGTCAATGTCGGACTGATTTGAATAATTTGCAAGTTTTAATTGTTAACAACCCACGATGGGGCCTCTCTGTTGTTCAGTTAAAAAATTTGTATACTAAAGATGTTGAATACACCCCTATCAATTCTGTTGAAATAGTTGTTCAACAACGCAACAAAGGTAGCGTTGCTATAACTTTGACAGACCCATCTACTCCCATATCCTGTTTGTTTGTTAACACTCTGTACTCCGCTGGATCTACATTTGTCATAGTTGGCCTGATCAGTGTTGTCATTCTCGGCTTACAACGATTCTACAAATACTATGTGAGATATCAGAAAAAGAAAAGTGAAGAAATCTACTCCATGGTGGAACAGATCATAGACATTATATCTCAAGAAACCGAAGACAGCGGAGAACCTTACATATCAGTTGATCATGTAAGAGATACCTTGATATCTCCTCAGAATAGAGAGAAAATGTCATCAACCTGGGATGCAGCGGTCAAATTCATACAGACAAACGAAAGCAGGGTACGAATGGAAGTTCAATCTGTTGATGGTGAAGACTGCAGAGTGTGGAGATGGATTTCACCGCATGGGAGCCCGAAGCGTAGTGCTGCATGGCAGGGACAGGCATTCGAAACTCAAGAGGGATCTGTGAACAATCTCACCGTGTCTCCTACCCCTTGCCTGAAGATCCGTCACATGTTCGACAAAAACGACACCAACCCTAATTTGAGATCGGTGATACAGGACGCTATTCTGGAGAAATGCGGGGACAGGTGCAACATTCTGCACATCGACATTGACCGGGCCTCGTGCTGTGTCTACGTGAAGTGTTCCACGACGACTGATGCTGGCGTGGTCTACAGAAGCCTGCACGGCTGGTGGTACGAGGGTCGGCTCATCACGGTGAAATACCTGCGTCTGGAGAGATACATGCAGAGATTCCCCAATTCCCCCTCCACTGGACCCTTTCTGAAGCCTTCACGTCGCCGTTAATGATTGCACACAGCTTACAGTCAAGCATAATAAAAGAATACAACTGTCAGTTGTGTGCGCAGGAATATCGTACCATAGCAGGGTCAGCAGTTGTAATAAGCAAATTGCTTTTTACATCATTTTTAAAAGTTGATTGTTTTGATCCCCCATTGGCAAAATAGTTACATGTTGATACTCGTGCGCAAACGCTTTGCCGATGGCTTTACGATGTCACGCGCAAGTTAAAGTAATGTGCAGACAAGCGCGGGACGCGGTCTCTGTTAGTGGGAGGAGAGCCATCGGCAAACCTTCAGCGCACAGATAACATCGTGTATTTAAGTTGCATGTTCAATTTCTTTGTTATTAAATTCTTTTCTACAATTTTTGTACTTTAGCCTAGTTATTCTTAATTGACTGGATTTGGACACAAAATGTTTTAAAGTGTTCTATTGTATTTTAAAAACTATAACAATACTTGTAGTTTTTCTTGACGTAAGTTTTTGACATGTTATAGTTTTTACTTTAGTGTAAAACTGCGTAGCTCCATATGATGTGATATGGTATAATTGGTAATTTAAAAACAAGGTAAAATAATATCAGAGATATAAGCATAAACTTAGCTCTAAGACTTAACAAATAAATGTTGCCTTATTTTGTAAAGTTGTGCACTTGATGTGTTGTAAATATTGTCATCACATGTCTCAGTTCATTACTTTATTAATTCGGAGTTTTATGTCAGCGAGGAATTTGTTATTTCAATTTACTTGTTTCTGAACTGCTTTTGTAACTTTCATAGTATTGATTTTTCACTTGCAGGTAACAAAGTGGAACACAAAGTGTATGTTTTAAGGTTAACATTAATTTTCAAGTATCTTTAACTAAATTTTACTTTCTAGTGTTATGTTATGCATTCATTTTCACTTTTTCAATAAATAGTAAAAAATAAAATAGTTTTTTATTTCTTTGTATGGTAAGACCGTTAATTTGACTTTTTAACCTTAAAGAACAAGATAGACGCGCAACAAAGATGACTTGCGTATTGAATAATGTTATCAATGCTAATACACCATTTTCATAATAATTTGAATATCAACGACAAACGGTCGAGTTCGTACAAACCGTTACAATATTCAGTGAGTCACCACTAGTTCACACAAATTTTAAAACTTAGTTTATTAAGAATTCCATTTCACAAACTACTAAAACTATCAAAGACAACATAATTCTTTGCTTCAGATCCATAAAAACATTAGGACAAAAAATGATGTTATAGTATTGTAAAACAATCAGTGTTTTATGGTTTTTATGAATCCCAATTAACTTTTTGACTCGTTTTGAAAATATGCAGAAATTATGAAGAAGAAAAAATTGTTAATTTTTGTATAAGGTTCATTATATAGGTGTAAGTGTTTGTTCTTGTAGGGGAACGTAAATTTAAAAAAAGTCTGCCGAAACCCGGGATTGAACCGGGGACCTTTAGATCTTCAGTCTAACGCTCTCCCAACTGAGCTATTTCGGCTTTTGTTACAATCCTGAAAGTAATAATCACCTTTCTATTCGACCGAAAGAATACTTTTACCGTAATTAATAAATTAATGCTGGATTTGTAGTGGCCCTAAGACTGATAATGAAATAAGTTCGTATTGTGTCTTGCGTTCATTCTAGATTGCCTGCAGGTTACTTCATATTAGGTAAGAGTTGACTATGTTGAGAAAAGAGTAAATAAAACCCAAAAAGTACGTTTGTATAAAGTTTATTTGTAATGTATCATGTAGGTAGGAGGAGGAGGAGGAGGAGGCGGTCAGTAGCGCAGCAGGCGGGTGAGGTGGTGCAGACAGCGCCAGACGCCGGGCAGGTAGAAGGGCTCGTAGACGTGCGGGAAGGGCGCGTCCCAGCCCGCCGCGCGCTGCACCGGCGCCTCCAGGTGCAGGAAGCACTCCTCCTGCATCGACAACGGAATGTAATGTGAATTCTCCGAAAAAGTTGTTGAAAATGCGTTTGTTGCGTGTTTATTGCATGTTTGTTGAGCATATGATGTATGATTGTTGCGAGTTTGTTACGTGTTTGATGGGGTTTGTTGTGAGTTTGATGTATGTTTGTTGCGGTACCTGTACGGTGGCGGCGACTTCAGCGCCGAAGCCGCAGGTGAGCGGCGCCTCGTGTGCGATCAGACAGCGACCCGTCTTCTTTACGGACTGTAGAAAAATACATTTTTACACAAAATAGTCAGAATAGGCATGATCTGTAGAGTTATACACAACTAGTTATCGCACGCGACTTCGTCCGCGTGAAATTAATAAAAAGTAAACAAAAGTAGATAAATATGTGTTCTTCAAGATTATCCTCTACATCTATGAAAATCATCGAGATCCGTTCAGCAGTTTAGGCTACAAACTAAGAAATATCCACCTATTTAAACTATCGCATTTATAATAGTGAGATAGTAAGATATAATTACAAATGTGACAAATCAGAAGATAGAATAATCGCAAACTATGAATGAGCAAGTGAAGGTAGTGAAGGTAGTGAGGCAGTAAGGCAGTGAGGCAGTGAGGCAGTGGGAGAGCGGCCTCACATTGCAGACGGTGTCCTCGTCCCAGGGCAGCAGGGACTGCAGGTCGATGACCTCGACGTCTGCGCCGAGCCGCTCCCGCGCGAGCTGCGCCGTCTGCAGCAGCACGTGCACCTGCGTGCCCCACCCCACCAGCGTCGCCGCACTGCCTGCTCAAATTGTATGATAGATGGCGTTGTTATTACATTCACTACAGGTTTAGTGCGTTACTTGTATAATAGATGGCGTTGTAACAAAATTCAATGTAATAAAGTCCAGCTTAGTGCATTTTTTTCTAAAATTCAATATTGAAAAGTAAAGATTTAGTGCATTCTTTTGCAATAGATGGCGCTGAAACAATTTTTACATTTTCAAATACACGTAATGTTTATTAGTTTTACAATAGATGGCGCTGAAACAAAATTATTAATATAGAATATAAATAGGCTAAGAAATATTTTAATACGAGGATATGTTTTGTTATTTTTTTAGAAAACACAAACCTTCTCTGAGTATTTGCGCCTTGCCGAGCGGCAGCGTGTAGTCCTCCACGGGCACCTCCTCAGCAGCGGAGCGGTACAGGATCTTGGGCTCCAGGAAGATGCAGGGGTCCTGCTCCCTGATGCAGGCCAGCAGCAGGCCCTTGGCCGCGATAGGACCGCGCGGCATCACCACCTGCAGTAAACAGATATTACAATTTCACAGTAATCTTCTTTACCATTTCAATACAGGAAATCACAATGAAATTTACATAGTTAGAGATGTTTACGGCAATAGTAATTAAATGTCGCTCATAAACACCTACATATGCAAAAGCGTTGTTGTTAAGTAGCTTTTCAATGGTAAAAGAATTATGATAATCGGTCCAGTAGTTTTTGAGTAATAACTCAATATAATATATACAAAAATACAAATGTTTCCTTTTCATACCAATAATATGGAGGTAGATAAATGTTTTTTTTTTGTTTAATAAAAGGGAGCAAACGAGCGGCGAGAACACCGAGATGGTAAACGACGCCGGGCAGAGGAACTAGAGATGTCGGCTGAACTGTTTTGTGCGGTGTGGAACGGTCTGTCTTCGGCGGTATTTCCAAACCAACACGAGTAAGAATCCTTCAAGAAGCGGGTCTACAATTTTCTCAAAGGCCGGCAACGCATCTGTAGTTCCTCTGGCGTTGCGGATGTCTTGGCGTCGTCGATCACCTCGTGTTCTCGCCGTTCGTTTGCTCCCTTTTATTACACAACAAGATACAGGCTATTCGTGATGGTGACGTGGCAGTGTAGTGGAGAAGGCAGCTCACCCGCAGGCCGGGCGTGTGCGCGAAGTAGGCCTCCGGGCTCTGCGAGTGGTAGAGGCCGCCGTGGCCCACGGCGCCGCTGGGCGCGCGCACCGTCAGCGCGCCGCACGCCCACTGCGCGCCCGACCGGTAGCGCGCCTTGCCCGCCTCGCTCACCAGCTGCGCAGCACGGGGCAGCGCCCTTCGTTGTATCTCCCAAATTGTACCCTTACATGGAACTATGCGACATTTGTACCCACTAAAAACCCTCAGTGGCCAGCCTCTAGTGAAATAGGTAGTTCCAGGATGACCATGGAACTCAACAGAGTCCTTGGGACTTTGTCATAAAATACAGGTGTTGCCTGTTTCGCAACATCATAACAATATACAGCAAAGCTATGCCACCATCTTCCCGGGCCATTTTGATGGACATTCAGGACCACCGAATAGCTGTGACCCTACCAAGACAACTATCCTATCTCCCAAGCAATACTTCTGACTAAACCTTTACTGTATGTATCTTATTTGTGTGAAAAGTATAAAAGTATGAAATGTTGAACAATAAAGAAACAATCCTTATGGTAATAATTGGGAATTGGACTTTACATTGTATCTTAAAGTCACATTCTCACAGGCGAATTTATAACGCTCGACGGTGACGGTTTTTTAACGCTTATAAGAATACTGTAAAATCACTTATTTTAAACTGGGTATAGAGTCTATGTAAAGACTCCAAAAACAGTTCAAATACGTGATAAAAAACGATGAACTATATGAATGGTATAGGTAACAGCAATTTATTCTATTTCAATGCTTTTACAAGATGCGTTATAAAAACGCTCGTGCGGGGAGCTCAGACTAACATAAATTACTTATCCACAGTAAGAATAACACAAAAACATTGTTAGTTGATTAGAAAAATTATACAATGAAAAATGTATTATAATTGTATAAACAAATGCAATAACAAATTTGTCAACTCAAGGATGTTGTTAATACAAAATGCTTGTGTAAAACTAACAAAATGTATAAAACCGTTATGTTAATAATTTATATGACTGGCACATTGCATATAATAATTAAAGCCATTATTCCAACACATAGAGAAACAGCATTTTTAGTTATTATTGAGTTATTTGTCCTTACAATTTTGTCTTAAAAATACTAATGCAAACTTACTTAAAGGAAGCTTAAACAACTCCGAGTAACGCAGTATTACCTGATCGAATGCAGGGAATATGTAATCAGCAAACTGTATTTCAGCAATAGCAGTTGCTCCGGCCGTCGCCAGACCAATACCAAACCCAGCAATACCTTGCTCACACAGCGGAGTGTTGAAAACACGGTCTTTACCATACTTATCCTGGAAGTTACATTAACATTTGTTTAATTATTCCAATAGCGGTTAACCTAAAATATTAACCTAATTCATAGAGAATTGTTTGCAATTTAAACTGATATAAATAATTGACAAATAAAACTTTAATTACAGAAACCAGATCTATGTTACTAACAAAACTGTTATTTTACAATCCTAATAGATTTTACAGTTTTTTGACAGAAAATCATACAAATTATTGGTACAAAATTACCTTTTATGGTAATAACAATATTAATTATATAAATAATGCTGTATTATAAAAGAAATGAGTATATAAAGATAAATAGATAGAATACTTGTTACCTGCAAGCCCAGAGCACATCGGAACACTCCACCGAAGCCAACATCTTCACCAAACAGGACTGCAGTTGGGTCATCTCTCAATGTTATGTCCATAGCGTTATTTATTGCTTGCATCATATTCATTTTGGTTGTTTCACCTGTTATTTTACATATTAATTAAAAAGATAACCAAGCATTCTACAATTTGAAAATGGAATGTTGAATTTATTAAAAATTTATGAATATTAAAAAAAGAAAATGATTGTTGTCTGAAATCTGAACATCTTTTTTGTTTTCATAAATACTTAAGTTATGGCTTAAAACTGTGAATTAATGTAATTTAAAGTCCTAAAACAGTATATTTCTAAGATATTTTGAATGTAAATACAGTGTTAATTTAATTCTATCAGTACATATAACATTTAGCACAAGAAAAGTTGTTTTATTCTTACAAGTTAGGTATAGATATCAAAATTAAAGTTTAACTTACCCGAAACTGGTTTCTCATTATCGGGATAGTAAATAAAATGCGAGGAAAGCCTTTTCGCACAATCGTTAACATATTTCGTTAACTTTCCAACAACTAAACTTTTCTGTGTCAATAAACTAGCCATTTTCGTAAGCCTCAATCGGCGACCGTAATGTGCGAGACTCGTTTGTTGAATGTATTAAACAAACCAAACACATCTTATCTGCAATTCTAATTAGCTACGATAAAAAATAACTGATAACTCAAGACGTATGAAATATCTTTTATCTTTTCTCATTCTGAGCAAAATGTAATCTAAACATGATGTATGGACTTAAATTATAATTAGTAGTAAGAATATAAGAAATAAAATCAAGTTAAATACGTCGGTGAAAGTATAAATAAAACAAAACTGATGTAACCTTGGCTGTTGACCTTAATGTCAATTTACAAAAAATTAATGCCGGTAAACACTTGGCCAGTACAGTTGGATTGTTGCGACTGCGACGGCTAGCGACACTCATTGACGCCTCTTAGCGTTTACACTCTACCAGTTAATTGATGACGGTCCAGTCAGAGCGATACTGGTCAACTGTACTGGCCAAGTGTAAGCCGCGCATAAAGGAAAGAGATAGACTATATCAGTGATGAACAACATACGTTCTAAATTACTCAAAAATCCAATTTTAAAAGTTATTAAGTCTGTAAAATAATTAAGGTCTAATCTATTTATATAAAATAGATTTATATAAATCTGTTTAATTAAGGTTCAGTCATGAAAGTATTACTAGAACAGGAATGAGCTCTTGTTGCAAAATTGAAGCCGAGCGAGACCTCAATAACTGTACCTTTTATCCCTCTCTAGCGATAGTGACTATGTTGAAATATGATTTAAGGATAACAATTATAAAAAATCTTCTTTTTGTTGCCTGACGTATGCAGATTATGGCTTCAGATGGATATTATTTTTATAACGCCTTCATGATTGTAATCGGCAGATTCTTCTAAAAAAAATTTTCTACAATTTTAATGAAGGTGAGGAGTTTTATGTTCTTTTCGTTTAATTATATACTAATTCTAATAATGAAAATAATATCAGATTGACATCATATCAGGTCAGACTTAGTTAACAAAAATAATGAGAGCTCTGAAACGCAAAATTAATATAAACATAATTGAATTAAGAGGTAATAAGTACTTTTCACATCAACAAGTCGATCAGAACTATAAATAACTTCTAAACATCTGCATTGCAGTTTCTAGAAATATAATAACGAGTATATTTACCGGAAAATGTTTTCGAGTTATAATCCTTAGGTTATATTTGGCAGTAGCTTGTGCCCGTGACTTTTTCAACGAGGAATAAAAAAGTAACCTAGACTATGCGCTATTCTATACTCTGTGCCATATTTCGTCCTGTTTCTGTGATTTGTTTAGCCGCTTTGTAGTTACCTGCTAGTAAACAACTATCCGTCCATCCAAACTTATGCATTTATAATATTAGTAATAAATAAGATAGTAAAATCGCGTAGAATAATGATAATAAACTATTCGCAATGTATGTTGCTGTGTTGACAATATTTGGCGATAGCACGTGCGACCTACTGATTTTAATAGAAATAGTAATTTAGCATATTTGTATTGCTCGTTATTTTATTTATTGTTAACGGAAAACATATTTTCTATCGCACACGTTGATTTGTCCGAAAAATCAAGAAAAAAAGGTCTTTAAACTGCACAAATATCTTAGATATTGTGCCATAATACATCTTTCTACATTAACACTAATATTATAAAGATGGTAAATTCATATTTTTGTATGTTACGGAGAATCTTAAAAACTGGATTTATATTAAAAAATCTTTTTTGCCATTAGATATCTACATTATCGCTAAGTAACATAGGCTGCATTTATTGCTAGATTTTTTAATTTCGCTCAGACGAAGTTGCGGGCAAAAGCAAGTTAATTATAATTTAATCCTATGAAGTATTCTGTATAGGGTTGGGTGAATTATTTTATATGGCAAAGCATCAGGTTTTCTTACCTAATGTTGTTTTGGCGGAAATTACGTTAGCTTCTTATGTCATTTACTTTTTGAAATATAAGTTACTTCTAGGCTCATTTTACCAAAGTAATATAATAAGATATAATATTAAATGTCGAATGTTTTTTTTAATGTAGTGCAAAGTTATCAGCAGATAAGTTATCAGTTATTTTTAGTTGTTTATTTTGATCAAGTCAATGCATAGCCGAAATAGCTCAGTTGGGAGAGCGTTAGACTGAAGATCTAAAGGTCCCCGGTTCAATCCCGGGTTTCGGCAAACATATATTTTTGTGATAACATATATTTAACATAATGACTTTTTAACTTTTAAAAACAGAGATAAAAATGTTTTTGTAGATGTGACGTGATGTAATGAGATGAAGGCAGCTAAGTAAGTGGAGATTCGATTTGAGAATCGAGTCGTTCTTTTTTCGTGTTGTAATGTCTACTCATATGTTGAATGTCTATGGTTAGGTATTGGTTAGACAGTGCGCCGCAGGTCGTTATTTACATATGGCTTTATCATGTAGTCGACCACGACATGCTTTTTCACTAAGTTGCCGCATCGCGTCCCCGCGGCGCTGTGGTGTTCCCGCCAAGTGTGCTCAATATTAGGTTTTAAAAAGCAAATTCATAAAGACGCATCAAGTTTACTTATGCATTTTTATTTATTTTTGTCATATCCAATTTACAATTTAATGGCTACGTACAATGAACTATTTTATTTTGGAATTGTATCGAGAAAAATGTTAAATACAAAATATGACAAACATTTCCTGGCTCTAATGTTAAGCACAATTATTGTAATGTTTGTTACTTTTTAAACAATTAAACTGTTTAAATTCCATACACGGCGGCCATCTTTTTATTAGACTTTTTAACTAGTTTTTTTTTTAAATTGTAAGACAATGTGGTATGATATTGTAAAATAAAGATAGACAATGTTTTCAGTTGTCAGAAAAAACACGAACTTCAATAATAGTATATGCGCATGATATAAAAATATCCCAAATATTTAGCAGGAAAAGCCAATGACATGGAAAGTCGGATTAACTGTCACTTGTCAGTCTATGGCGCCAATATTTCCCACAGATATGAGGTCATTGCTCAACTCGACTGTGTGCCAGGGTACACGGAGCCTTGTGTTTTACTTTATTTCATTAATTGCACAGTCTCGTTTATAAATGTACTTATTTTACCTTAGACAATTCTATGATAATTATGATTCAATGATATAATAATTTTACTATCGGATGTTATAGAAATACCTTACGGTTGAACGATAACGACGCAAATTCAATCTTCGTTCTTCATGCATGTAACGATGGAAAACGAGTCGCATGCGCTAGTTTTCGAATAGGTGTAAAAGTTTTCCAGAGACTATAATTAGACTAGACCCTCCTTCAGGGTACAAGTCTAGGCTGTTTAAAAAATATCGTTGATGTCTTTTTTGTGAAGTTGATATCATAGACAATTTTAGAGTTTTGTTGGTTTTGTGTGTAATAGTAGTTTTATAATCATTGTGTGTCGTCAAGTGGCGGGAGCGGGCGTCGGGCGGCTGGCGGCGGCCAGCGGGCGCCTCGTCCGCCCTCAGTGGCGGGAACTCAGCGGTCGCTTTCATTATCGCCATTTTGAATATTCATCGCGCGCTCGCATCCCGCCATTATCGGAGTTCAGAATTTTTGGTCAAATATTTAGCTAGTTTATTTTGGAAGTTATATTGTCGTTGAAAAAGCAATATGGTGGAAGAGAATAAAATGAGTCATTTTAATCCCAAACAGGAGTCAAGACACGATTTACTGCACCTACTACAAGTTCTACCAATACTACATGTCTACGAACATACTACGGTAAAAGAGTCCATTTAAAGTGTGCGTTTTACATTTCAAGCTGCTGAGTCCAGTATTCAAGTTACTATGATAATCGCCAACATTCGTTAACAGATAACACCAAAATTATTACAATTACATGGGCGTTGTACATAAGTGTTAGACACAAAGAAAGGTCGATGTCAACTAAAGACATATATCTACTTAAGTACATCAAGTTAAGAACACTCTCCTTGTGTGAACCGAAATGGCAAGCGAATCTTTATGTCGATTAACGCTAGTCGTATGTTGTAATCAAGTAATACGGTTACGAAACTATAAAATATTGTGGAGTTAAGTTACGTTAGAGACAGAGGTAGTCGAGTTGCGAATTGTCCACTCGCCGCCGCCGCGTCCGCTCAGCGGCCGACGTTCGCTGCTCAACCGCACTCAGAGTGAGCGGTGATCGTCCACGAACGCCGTAACTCAGTATCGCGTCGACCGCTGCTGGAACCGTACGTCTTGCGGTCGCCCGCCACGCCGCGCTCCCGTACACCTGTGCCCGTGTTGTTGCTCCGGCAGTACGTAAACATACCGATTACCGGCTCGAGTGGCTAGTGCACCTCGAAGCAAAGTGAGATCGGGAACGAGCGTCATTCGTGCGTATTAAAAAAACATTTTTTTCGAGTGACAGTTGCATTCTGCAGGTGCTTGCCTCTTATATATTTATTAATTAATTGAAAAGTGATTGTATCGGCCACGGTCGCGGCTCACATGTCCGGTCCGGTTTTTACGATTGCCGTCTGGAGTTCCAACTACCACTAGTTGCTTTGTTTGTTGTCGCTTGTCGAATTTGACGGCGACGGAGCACCGGCTCCGGGCTGAGCCGCGCCGGCAACTTCACTTGTTGATTCCAGACAATATTCCTTTTAGACCGTTCCAATAAGAATATAGTTCTACAATTTTTAAATCGGTTGTGGCGTCAACAATTGAAGTTATACGCAACGACGACGGTAAGCCGACGAACAATTTGATCAATGAATTGTTTGCAGACAGTGATTAATAGCGAATTAAGTCTACGGCCGATATAGAATAGTGATTACAAAACACCCGGTTATATTCACAATATCCATTGAAACTTGGCCCCCGGGATCAAATTGTTGCTTTTTAAATTAATCGATTCGATCATTTTAGAAGAGCGAATGCGGACAATAAAAAACAATTATTATTAAAAACGCACTATAGAAAACTAAGTATGGTTGTCCTTTTATTACCTTTATGTTTTTTTTTAACAAAAAATAGATTTATGTATTTTAAGTAGGGACATCTTCATACAAAATGTTTATCATGTCTGTCTATTGCGTGACAGTTTTTATAAGCTCTTTTCGTCATATTTTCATTAAAGCATCTGTAGGTACACCTTAAACGTAAATTTGTAGAAAAATTTGACGAATTGATATCAAAAATAAATAAATTAATTAATTTGATAAAT